TGATATTTTAGAAGGTAAATTAACGTCTCAGATGGTCTTAAGCCCCTGAAGATAGATTTACGAGCCAAACTTGGCATCGGGACGCTTCTTGGGAACCCTTGGAGCCCCATTCCCGTAGCTGCAAGATACTAAGGAGCGTCTGTTGTTGCATCCGAGTTGATTGAAATTTCTATTCCTGTTGAAGTATTAAACTATATAGCCATTCAAAGCTCTATTGGAGCTGAATAACTTCTTGTTGATGTTCTGGTGGCATGGTACTTAACTCCTCCATGTTAGACTCGACACTTCAAGTAAGATAGATTCCATCTCGGGGTGTACTTGCGTCTGTAAAAGAACAAAAGAGAACGGATTACCACATATTGTTGTGTCAACCATGATGAAAAGTCGAAAAAATCTCAACATGAAGGTATAGTAGTGTCTCTATTGGGAATTCACTTAACTTGCACAGGGGAAAATAAACGAATTTCAATTTCCATTATTATTTTGATCTAATCAAAATCGATAAATTAAAATAGTCATTTTTAATTTATCATCAATTCAAATCTGTCGTCCCAAATTGACATCCAACAATGTGTCGAGGTAATACATGTGAAGGAAAATATCATGTGGTATAACAAAATCAAACTTGTCCGTTTACCATGAAACTATAATCATTTCGTCAATATGATCCGATCAATTGCAAGATATGGATATGTGTCAATTTCAATTATCGATCATATTTTTCTTCCCAGTATTAAGTCAATATAAGTCGAAAACTTCTTTTCGACTTATGAGTACACCTTAACCAAAGATTGTGTTATTAACTTAACTGAATGAGATGTAAATCATAATCTCTTACTATCCAAGGGTGACGAATCCTCTATTGATCATTCACAATCTTTACATAATTCTTGATATACTCGAATGATGTCGTATTAATGACCCTTGATAGAGCAACATACAGCATCACCAAAGTATGACAGTCCTCATTAAGGCATTATGATGGCCTCAAGTCAAAGGACCAATTCTACTGCTGAAAGTTAGAGATTAACCACTGATACTCAAACAACTCTGAAACTCTCCATCGGGTCTCCAGTGTTTTGTTTTATAACAAAACATCAACGTATTCATTTAAGTATCCCCGTACTTTAACTTGTGATATCAGTTACTTACTTCACAAGTAAAAAATATCATGCATGATGGTCTATCCGTAATAACGATATCCGTATCTCGTTATTACTTATGACCACATATTATTTAAGATTCAGTCATATGTAATTTATATCACATACTCTTTGTAATTAACAAATTACAAAGATTTGA